AATTTTTCTAATTCCCTGTGTTGAATATATCCACCTATGTGATAATAAGGAGGTTATTCTCATGTCCGTTATTGTGACCAATCGGGGCGCAAGGCATCAATCATCCATTTACCATCAACAATGAATTTGATCTGTAGCATAAGGTAATGTCTCTCTCATTCTAAGAACATTAATAATTACAATCTTTGGTTAGATGACAGAATTATCTTACCTCGTATCTGCCAGGATACAACTTCAAGTACAGTGAAAAAACACCAGTTCTTGATATTTCCATCTTCCTCTGCAAATGAGAATTTAATTTAGATGTCGTTAAATAGAGACCCATATACATTCCCGTGATGAATAAAGTGGTTATCGTGACAGAATAGTAAAGATCCTAAATATCACCAATCGTTTGACAAGCAGCTACACCAAGACTGACTTATCAAAAAGCAACAGCTCAAGTTAAGCTCAGAAAGAGGCATGGTTGGTTACTCCATGGATGTTAAAAAAATAAAAAGCTGTCAATAATTTTGGTTTCCTGGGGCCTTGGAATATGACAAAACTATTCCAATTATTCTGGTTTGATGTATAACATCATGCAATACCTTTCTATCTTGGGATATCGGGCAGCTAAAATTCAGAAATTCAATGAAATACCCTCAGCTGTTGATGAAATAAGAGCTAACAGGTAAACAATGGACATTATTAAACACAATAGCTTACACCTAGAGAAAGATGAAAGGCCGCCTCAGCAAAAATAGTAAAGGTAAACCACATTCCCCTAATCAATCAACAGCTAGGGGAACTTGGCAGGGAGTAAACAAAAAGGAAGCAAGCACTCTGAGCAAGGCCAACAGGATGTTGGCCATGTTATGCTTTATCGAAGAAAGGATCATTTGATTGCTCAGGAAAGGTGACTCATTCTGATATAAGAGATTCCATGTTGATTAAAATAAAATTCAGTTCTATATTTCCATTAAAGTATTTGACAAAATAAGCAGTAATTCAATTGGTAAATAAATTCATGGGTCAAAATATTGTTTCTAAATCTATCAAACATAATTATGCTACATATAGCATGCTGACTCAAGAAACCCACAAAAATTAGGAAAGGGAGCACCCATGCAATAATTCCAGCAGTGAGTGTTCAACCACACATAGCAACACTTCAATTAATGAAACCAATAAACAAAAGGAAAACTACAGTGTTATCAAATTTAAATTTGTAATTGAGATGGGACAAACCTGGGTGGCCCATCCATCAAATGATCCTGCTAAGAGCACCTCTGATGCTGAATTAGGCCACGCCATGTAAGCAGTAGGAATAAGTTGTAAAGCTCTATGAGCATCATCAATCCTCTGTGTTTGCTCCAAAACCTTTTGTGTATCTCTGTAACAAGAATGTGAAAAATAATTTCATAGCAGCCAGTTAGAAAGTATTTGTAGTAATAAATGAAAAATATGCATACATTATTGACAAAGCCATCTTTCCTTCCAAAACTCCCAATTTTGCCTGTATGGATCATAGCTTGCCCTGAGCAGTCAAGATTTCATTTTTTTGAAACTCCAAAGCATCAGAAAGATTCTGTAAATCGTCCTTGGAGCTTACATCATCCTAAAACAGTTAACAGTATATGGAGCAGGATTAAAAAGGTCATTTGAAACCCTGCAAGAAAGAATTATAAATATGGTGAAAGAATGGGATGGGATAGCTTTTGTGGAACAGAAATGCAATCAATTCTTCAAATCAGAATATTTATCCGTTTAAAGTTATCATCTTATCAATGGAAAAAAAAAAAAAAATTTGCCCACAGAAACTCTTTTTTCTTTTCTTTGGCCATCAACAAACAACCTTACATCAAGTTTGAATTGATCATTGCATAAACTAAACATCCTAGACAGGAACACAGAAAGAGGGGACAATATCACTACTCAAATTGATAAATTACTGAATCCAAAGCTAAATTAGAATTATTGACAAATAAGTTTGCTTCTACTAAAAAAAGACAAATAAGTTTGACCATGTATATACACATATATGAGTTAGGATCCACTTTCACATAACTCTTACCCACATCACCTACATAAAATCTTCATCATTCATTTATCCACCATGAATAGTTGAGATTTAGCATAACTTTAGATGAAAAAGATAATTATCTTTAAAAAATAGGATAAAAAGTGGATGAAATTTATCAATATTTCAATATTTTCTACACTAAATTTCAATATTTTTATGGTTTTTCTTTCTGCAAACACAAGGACTGTCAAAGTAGACACCTCCACTCCACCTGTGCCACAAAAAAATAAAAATTCTTTTATTTATTATTATTTTTTTTTTATGCCTTTTAAACATGAATACAAGCTCTTATTTCAATTTAAAAGGGACTGGGTGGAAGTTTAAACTATAAGGAACTTAATATACATTTGACCAGTCATGGATAACATGTGACAAATCAGTCTATATGGACATTTTCAACTTAAGAATCATTGGATGTAGTTCCATGGAATTTCTTTACTACAACAAACACTCTTAACTGTTTCTCCTTAAACTCCCCAAGGAGATATATACTTTAATGACCTGATTATTTTCAATCTAACAGAAGGATGGAACAAAATATTTGATAAGTTTCTTCAACAATAATATAAAAAGAAAAGGTTCCTGAACTTTGTGTTAAGTGCACATATACAGGGGCAAAAAACAGTAACCCACGTCTTGCAATGAAACATTATCAGCATCAGACCTGAGTGACTAAAGCACAGAGGAAAGCTCTAACTCCAGGCGCTCAAGGTGACTGCAGATTTGATCTGTGTTATCATTTTGAAAAGAATTTAATTCATTTCTTTTGTCCAATTCACTAATCTATCTCTTATTTCAAGTGTGTCATCTCCTAAAATATCTGCAGATTTGTCAGCAGTTGTACATTGCAATTGCATTAACACAAATAGCAGTTATCTGAATCAAAACTGTTAAGGCAGGAAGAAATTCATGCTACTAAGAAAACTACCTTCAAATTCCATGTCTGAAAGCCCTGCTCTCTGAATGCTCCAATTTCCCCAATTTCCCCAAATATCTGACTTAATGGAGCTTCCATGTCTAAGATCATTAACACCAAAAAAGGACTGGTTATGACTGATTTTGCCCCCACTATCATCAATTATCCCTCTTCTGCACTCGCCTCTTGCACTCTCCGGCCAACACTTCCCCTTTCATTGGGCCACGTAAGCTTGTTTCATGCTTTGAAGGCAACCTCTTACCGACCAGACTAACGTGGCCCAATAAAAGTGAAAGTGTTGGCCGGAGAGTGCAGAAGGCGAGTGCCCCGTGCACTCCTCTTCATATAATAGTTTGCAAGCCAAAACCAGGGGAGAAAAGGAAATGTTAAAAAAATTAAATTCATTTACTCATAGGAGCCAAGCAACTATTTATCGGAAGTATGAGAATTATAAACAAGAGAAGAACAGAAATCAACAAAATTGTATTATTCAAACATCATAATGCATTTATACAACGACGTTAAGTTATTCCTCTGGGAAAGCGAAATAAAGAAGTAGCATTTTTAACCATACTACCGTAAATGGACATCTGTCATGAACAGAAAAGAAAAAAAAAAGAGGCAAGCATAAACAAGTAAAATGAAAAATTAGAATCGTCAGAGTGATCTACCAGACGAGGATGGAGAGCAAGAAGAAGCCCCAGAACTCCGAACTTCACCATCAGCACTGTTTTTCCGATCCCCATTATTCCATGCGTTCTCAGTTTGGTGAAAATTCAAATGTTGAAAACCATTTTCTTGAAACTGATACTGCTGTTCTTGCTCCACTTGATTATCACCGCCATTATCCGAATCCCAACCCAAAGCAAGCCATCCTCCCTGTCTCGGAAAAGCCTCCACAAGATCCATCCTCCCTGCATCCACCAACTCTTTCTTGCTCGGAAAAACCTTCTCACTATCTTTCATGAACTTCAATGTCTCTGCTTCCAAAGCCAAATTCCCTTCACTATCGCACTCTTTCTTGCACCAACAAGAATACCCAGAACCCCTCCTCCTCTTCTTCACTTCAATAAACCCCAAGAAAGAAAACACACCTCCACTTTGCTCCCCCAGAGCAACATTCAACTTCAGCGGTAAAAAATTTCCTCCCTTCCCCACTACTCCCCACGGCCCAACACTGCAGAGGCAAGAAGGGGAAACGCGAGAATCAAAATGCGTCAAAAACGGAGCGAGACAAGAGCGGCGGTGAAGGACACCACGATTCCGGCATTTCTCCTAACACTTGGTGGCTGTATAACAGATGAGGAACGCAAAACCGCCGAGGGAAAAAGAAAGAAGCAACGAACAATTCCGTAGTTTTGGGGGATGGGCGGGGAAATTTAGCTAAGTGGTTAAAGAATCGCTTTTACAATAAGTGATTGTCGTCGCTTTTATCGGTTATAGGTCCACCACAATCCTCGCTAGATTGCTTAACACCCTTTCCCTTGAAAACGAAAATCAAAATAATAAGCTATATTTTAATTCTACATGGATTTAGGAGGGTAATAACTAATGAAGACTAGTTGAGCATAAAGAGCTTGAATATGTTACAGATAATTACTGTGAGCAAGAACCATGGTTGAGCAGGAGAAGCAAAAGCTAATTTCAACATGATGCAATCGTGGTCAATGAAAATCTTCATTGATTTTGTGTTCAAGAGTCCGAATAACAAATGCCATGAAGGCAAAGGAGCAAACACTAGTGATCTAGGGATCTTGCGATAAAGGCTTCAGAAACACTCATCCATTCTTTTTTACATCGTTTCATATGGGCACCAATACTATCACCACCGGATTCCACAAATGGTAATGTGAATTCAACGTACAATGACCTCTTCGCCACAATAGAAATGTCTCCCACCACCGCATCGTAATTCTGTTGACCAAGGTTTAGAATTAATTAAAAATCCAAAGTGTGGATCTAGACTAAAAGAAAGTGATATAAACTCAAATTTAAAGGCGAGTGACTAACCCTATAAACGACTTCATCATCTAGATTTTTATAACTTTCATCATCATATATTTTAATGGGTTAGGAATCAAAGGGGACGGTGAATGGCATTGCATTCTGTTGGAGTTGTGGTGTCAAAGCTGCACATGTGGCAGCAAATGAAAATGAAAGGCTGCACAAAAGGCAGCAAATGAAGAAGGGAGAGCTGCACCAATAGCACGATAGCAGCAAAGTGCAACAAGTTAAGCTGAAAATCTGGTGAAAATGAAGCTGTCAAATGACAGAAAAAATGTGCAGCAAGCTAAGCTGCAAATGTTGATAAAATGAGGCTGCAATGAACAGCAAATTAAACGTAAATGCAAATGAAAGGCTGCAAAGAGGCTGCAGAGTTGCCAAGAGGCTGTAGAGCTGCCACAGGGCGCAAGCATGCAGCAGCAAAAGTGGCTGTTACTCATTTCAAAATTCAAATGTACATTTATTGTTTTTTAATGTAATATAGTTGTTTGAATTTTGAATTATTTAAAGATTGTATTCTCCTATAAATAGGAGAGATTATTAATGAGAAAAGTTGAGTTGAAGTCATATACTTCTCTCCATTTTAGTTTATGCTCTGCTCTTCAGCTTCCTCTCGATTTGCTCTCTCTATTTCTTTGTGAAAAAAAAAAAAAAAAAAAAAAACCAACACATTCATGACAACATTGAAGACATTTATGCAACACCTGTGAAAGTACTTGAATTAGTACTTTGATCCATTGTTACCTTAACAAATTCAATAAATCCACTCCTCATCAGCATACCAATCTTCAACCTTTGTCTACTTATCGGAATCTCCCACCCTTTGGGAATGGACTGGGATCCCCTAGCTAGCCATATGATGGATCCAAGATTGGCCTTGGAAATGAAATACCTTGTTTCATTTGTAACATCTAGTCTTTTAACCAGTTGTCGATACTTTAACGTCCATAACCCAATCCCATTTTCAGCATTTCCAATAAAATTAACAATTGGAAAATAGAGGACTCAAGTTGCCCATTAATAAAGCCGAAATCTCCATGAAGACCTTTAAGTCTCATCCCTTTGGGTTTCCTCTCCTCTTGCGAAGTCTCCCTCCTTTTCTTTCTTTGTTGTGTTTTCTTAATATCTGAATTGCGTTGCAATTGCAATTCTCTATCCTTTTTCTTTAACCAATCTAAACTATTAAGAAAAGAGTTAAGAGAGGCCGCCTTGGTGGATTAATTGGTATAGCAAATTAGTGCAGGCTGCAAGTTGTATGGTTTTGAGGCTGTGATGGTTTTTGAGGCAACAAAACAACAATTTGAATGAAAGCTTAAGCGGGTTACAATGGAAAGTTTTTGTGTTTGTGATTGAAACATCTTTTTTCTTGTTCAATTGTTTTGATTAAGTTTCAGTTGAATGAAACAGTTTCTTGTAATCATGTATCGGGGCGGTGATTTTGTGGATATAGGCTGGATAGATCTATTGAGGTGCCTTGATGCTTCTTTGGATTCTTTAAGGAGTTTGGTTTAAGGGTTCCACGAAAGGCACCTTATCTAAGAATATTATATGGCATCTTGATTAGTGGAAGGGGACTATTGTACTACCAAAGTGCTTGTTCTCCTTGAAGCTAGTACAACAAGTGAGATGACTCAGTGGTTGAAGAAGCTCAGAAAATAGTCTTTCTACACTTTATAACCTTGTTGTTACCTTTATATATGGTCACATGCTAGTGGCTTATGTCTAAATGGATTATGATAGAAAGAGGCTTAGTTGTCATATCTCAAGCTCGAGTCTAGCTACAATATTTGATTGTTAGCCTACATGCATTAATTAGATTAGTTTAGGGTGTAAATATAATTTGTGCTACATGTTATGCTTATTTATTGTTATGTAATGCCTATACATGGATGCATTGTAATCCTTTTATTATTAATATATCCTTAGTTTTATCAAAATAAATAAATATTTTCAAAAATCAACCATTGGATTGAAAGTTCAATTAATGTAAATCAAGCACATCAATTTTTATATTAATCCAACACTTATAACTTTTTAATTAAAGAAACTTTATTTATTTTATATTTAATGGTGTTAAATTTTATGCAATTAATGAAGTGATTAAGTTTACTAGAATAATCTAAAAATTAACATTTATAATTTATATAAATAGAACTTTTAATCTAATAATTAGTTTTTAAAAATATTTTCAAATTTTGTGTATATCCTTAGGTTTTTTGTTCATTGGTTCCTCAAGAACTTATTTTTTATAAGTTGCATCCTTGAAAAATTTTTTTGGCCCCTCTAATGTCTTTTTCAAGCCTCTTCGCTGGTGAGGTGTATGGTGGTTAGATTTTTTTCTAAGGGCTCTAAAAGCCACTATGGTATTGGGTGGGCCACAGCAATATAACTAACATAGGAGATTCAAGAAGATCGATTGCCTCTAGATGGAGTTAGAGATTGCCCTGTAATAACTTAATTTACCTGTCATTAATATAAGATTGATGATTATTTTTTCTCAAAAAAAAAAAAAAGAAGATTAGTTGATAAAATAATCCAACAAAGGAATTTCAAGAATTTGAATTCAATTTTGTATCTAAAGATATTATTAGTTTTTTTTGATACATCTGAATATGAGTTATACAAAAGGGTACAATTCTCCCTTATTTTTAAATTTCTCCCCACCAAACTCAAAACTTAAACATGAGATTAAAAGTCGAATTTGAAATCTAATTTGAAATCTAATTTGAAATCTTAAATTTTTAACAATTGAATCACCCTACTGGGGATGGAGATATTATTAATTTAATTAACTTAATCAACCATTAATATGGTTGATTCTTTAAATCCATATCTCTAAATAGAAATAACATTGTCCACTGCTTTTTCATGAGTTGTTTGTGTTAGCATGATCAACACCTTCTATAGGGGCCTCAATAGGAGCCTCGACAGAGGCCTCACCAGGAGCTTCAGCAAGGATCTCTAAAGGGCCTCCAATTTGAACGATTTCAATGCAATCTTCATCTCTTAATTCACGTTGCCTCAACGTATGCGAGGTCAAGTCTCTCTGGTCAAAGTTTCGTAATACTTGAAGGATTCTTTTCCACATTGAAATTCCTATGTCGCGTTTACACAAGACATCCCTTTGCTCATACAGAAATTTTGCTACAGAGTAGATAAGTGCTAAGACTCCGGTCACCCCGGCAATGAGGAACAGACCGCGAAAGCTTCTAAGACTTAGACCATTTGTTGAACTTGAGTCACTTGCACAATTTCCTTGTTTCTGTACTTTTTCATCAATCATCCACATTCTATTGCTCTCGATGACCTTAAGGATTGATGTTGAAACATCTGCTACTAAAGGAGAACCTTTTGGAAAGACCTATTAATTACAACTTTTTAAGAAATAAGCTTAACTAAGAGCAATACGGATAATGATGGGGTGAGATGGAAAAAGAACTTACAAATCCAAAGCCACCGGTCTTAAAATTTGGTCCCGTTAAGGTTGTGTATTTTTCCTTGCAATGTTGTGCAAGAAACAACTGCATGTAAGGGATTTCGTCAATTGCAACTGAGATACCCCCATTGGCGCTTCCTTTCGTAAAAAGTTGATTGAGGTCCTCAATTGAATTATATATCTTCATCTGGGAGGGATCAAATTTCAAGTAGTCCTGGACAATTTCTTGAACGAAGGAGCCATTCTGGCACCCAACATTCTCTCCTTTCCTCAACATCTCATTTATATCAGACACAGTTAGTTGCAACTGCTCAACCGTCAAAAGTGAAGTTAAGCTTGCCGCGTAGCTCTGTGTCAATATGAATACCACAATACACCATATCACCACCACAATCCTTGCTGGATTGCTTAACACCCTTTCCCCTGAAAACGCAAATAAGAATAATTAACTATGTTTTATTTCTTCATGGATCTAGGGGGGTAATCAAGTTTAGTTGAGCTGAGCATAAAGAGCTTGAATATGTAACAGAACGTTACTCTGAGTAAAAACCATTGTTGAGAAGGAGAACCAAAAGCTAGTTCCAACATGATACAACGGTGGTCCACGAAAATCTTCATTGATTCTGTGTTCAAGAACCCAGATAACAAATGCCATGAAAACAAAGAAGCAAATGCTAGCGATCCAGAGGTCCAATGATAAAGGCTTCAGAAACACCCATGCATTCTTGGTTTCATTGTCTCTTACGGGCACTACGATCATTACACCGGCCTGAATAAACGGTAATGTAAATTCAACATATAATGACCTGTTTGCCAAAATAGAAATATCTCCAACCGCTGCATCATAATTCTGTTCACCAAGGTTAGAATCAATTAAGAAATACAAACTATGGATGTTCACTAGAAGAAAGTGATATAAACTCAAAATTAAAGGCAAGTTACTCACCCCATAAACAACTAGATCGATTAGTTTGTTGTAATCTTCGTCCTCTTCAAATTTGATGGGGTAGAAATCAAAGGGGACATGGTATGGCATCCCTTTCATTACATCATTGAAGACATCTATGCAATATCCGCTGAAAATAGTTGAATTAGTACTTTGATCAAATGTTACCTTAATGAATTCAGTAAACCCCGTCCTCATTGGCACTCCAATCTTCAACCTCTGACCACTCATTGGGATCTCCCAACCTTTGGGAGTGGACTGGGGATCCCCTGGCCATATGATAGATCCAAGATTGGTCTTAGAAATGGAATACCTTGTTAAATTTGTAAAATTTAGGCTCTTAACTAATCCATAGTTTGGTGTCCAGAACCCAACCCTATTTTCACCGTTTCCATTAAAGTTAACAATTTGGAAAATAGAGGATCTAAGTTGCCCATTAATAAAGCCAAAATCTCCACTAAGACCTTTAAGTCTCGTCCTTGACAAAGCCTGAATGAGTTTGGGACCATTTTGAGAAGCATTTGATGCATCGAAGTGGAAATTTGTAGTGCCAAATACCTCCTCTACCGCCATAGCAAGTGCAAATGTAGCATCATAAGCCCATAATCCAAAAATGTCCAATTCAGCATTCAACATACCTGGATTATCATGCAGAAATTTTCTTTTCCATCGTTTCTGAAATCTTTTTAACTCTTTTGATCTTGGAACATAATTCCTTAAACCCAATACCCCTTGCATGAAATCCATATCAGAAAGATCTATCAAACTCCAAAGATTAGTCATCCCATTAGTTATTATCCAAACATATCCTTCACCCATCATTCCAATCTCTTTTGCTCTGTGAAAAACTCGAGATCCAAGATCTGGAGCCATATGAACAATGAAGACTCTAGTTTGCATTGTCCTTAGCTTATATAGCTCTATTTCAATTTCCTCATTGGTGGCCCCAGGAGTGATAACACTCTTGTATGGAATCCGAGCGTCAACCTTTTCCAAGGCTTCGTATAAGTATGGTATAATCCCTTTCCCAAAGTCATTATCTACATATATGGGCACAACTTCCCGCCATCCGAAGGCTTGGACAATGGCGCTGATGGCTTTGACTTGAGATGAGTCATTTATAGTTGCTTGGAAAAAGTATGGGCTTCGGAAGGAAGTAAGATCAGGACTTGTTGCGGAGAAGGAGATGATAGGTATTTGAGATTTGTTTCCGAGATCAATGATGAAGCTTGCCTGCATTGAATTTGTTGGCCCTATGATTGCTTGCACTCGCACATTCTTTGTCAAATCTAGAGCTGTTCAGAAAATTAAAGTTAGTTTTCAAGCGCGGTTTGCATTAATTGTTAGGATTGGCAATTCAAGTTGGTTTTCATTAATTTTTCTTTTGTTTTCTGCATCTACAAGATTAATTTTTCTTTCGATACATTAAGGAAATTAATTTTTTGGGTTCTTACCCAAAACTTGAATTTTAAATCTAATTTATAAGATTATATTTACTTATCAATAGATTTAACCCTTAGGATTATTTTCATTACTCTAATTACCCATATCATTTTGCTAACTTTTACTTTTACTATTACATGTAAAAAAAATGATTTACAAAAATAGAACATTTAATCAGACAATTAATATTTTTATTTAATTAATTAAAAAGTGACATTTAGGTTGACTACATGAAAAAACAAAGCAAAAAAAAAAAAAAAAAGCAAAATTGGAAGGACAAACAAGTCTTACGCATTCCCGATATGTATGCATGGGAAAAAACATTTTCAATCCATACTCAAAAAAAAATTTGGAGTCCAATTCCAAAATATTACATATGGTTAATATGTTGAAGAGAAAAAAAAAATAACTATTGGATCAAATTTTCTACTATTGTAAATTATACACGTCAATTTTTAAGATGATTTAATGTCTACGACCAATTAGTTAAAGAAAACTCTTTTTTTAAAATATATTTAATGGTGTTAAATTTCATGTGTTCAATGAATTATATAGTTAAATATATTCAATTAATATCATTTGATTAAAGACATTGTCAGGCTCATTAAAAAAAAACAAAGGCCAGCCAAAACTATTTTCTTAACATAATTTTCAAGTTCAAGTTCAAACCACATTAAAAAGAGTCAGATTAAACAGAAAGGAATGCGGATGGCCAAAAGGGCAGCCAAATAATAAAAAAAAAAACAGAGAAGAATGCCGAAAAAAGTTCTATACAGAACACATCACATATTCATGTATTGTGTTATTTGAGGAGCAATATTGGCTGGCCAAAGAAAAAAAAAAAAAGCAATATTGACTCAAGGTTGTCTTTGGTAAGAAAAAACTAAAAATATAGCTTGCTATTTTGGTATATTAAATGATAGATAGGTTATATAACAAGAAATAATCATTAATTTTTTTTTCCTTAAAATTCTAAACTTTTAATTAGTTAAAACACCCCTTAAAAGTAAAAAAATAATTTTTTTTTCTATTATTGTATAGTATAGGACTATTTGACTGTACAGTTTTTATTTATTTATTTATTTTGGCTGTTGTGTAACAAAGTTATCTTTAAAGAAGTGCATGTTGGTGCAGATTAGATTGTGGCTTGATTTAGGTTAGGACATATATGGTTGTGGATAAATTAGTGAAGATATTGTCGTTTGATCATTGTCTATAGCTGTTATCCAATTGCTGTGGTTAGTTAATTACTGTTCATTGCTGCGTCCAATTTTAGTCTGCTGGTGTTTCTTTTAGAACATTAATTAGTTAGATTCTTGCAATTTCAGTAGCAATCTTAGTGCCAGTGCATAGGGGTGGGTAAAAACCAGTTTCGGTTAAAACCGAAACCGGTTTTGAATTAACCAAAAAAATTTTTCATTAATTTTGAGAACTAAAATGGAATCAAAATTTTCAAAAACCAACCAGTTTGGTTACTAATAAAATTGGTTTGGTTTCAATTTTAACCAAATAAACATTAATTAATTTTTTTTCCAATAATAGATTATATTTCATGTAATATTTTATCATATTTAACCAAATTTTGGTTTTCAGGTGGCTCTTTTCGAATTTTGGTTTGTAAAAACTTAAACTGAAATCAAATCAAAATTTATTCGATTAATATTAAAATCAAACCAATAACACTCGAAAACCATTGAAATAAAACCGAATTCATTTTTCGGTTCGATTTTCAAGTAACCGTTTGGTTACCCAACCGAATGCCCACCCTTATGAGTGCATATCCAACCTTTAATTAGTAAGGTATGGATGCAGTTAGAAAAGTTATCCACACTGAAGGGAGGAAATTCATGAAACAATCTTTTTATTATTCTTTTTAAAAAGTCAAATTTTAATGAACTAGGTGAAAGCACACCTGATACTCATGACCTAATGATTGTAAACTACATTGACAAACTTCGTAAAAGCTTTTTATGGGGAGGGAAGGGAGATGAGAGAAAAATAAATTGGATTAGCTGGGACAAAGTATGTAAAAAGAAAGAGGAAGGAGGGTTAGGAGTGAGGGATTTAAGGAAATTCAACTTGGCATTGATGGGAAAATGGTGGGGTCGGCTTGCTGAAAATGGGGAGAGCATGTGGAAAAAAATAATTGTAGAGAAGTATGGTAACGGAGGGGGTCATTGGCAGGATTGGATTGCTGAAAACAGAGGAGTAGGATCAACTTGGTGGAGAGATGTGTGTGATTTAAACTCAATGAATGGGGGCAGCTATGGTTGGTTAAAAGAGGGTTTCAGGGTTATCATTGGGGAGGGTAACACAGTTAGTTTCTGGTGGGATATATGGAGGGGAGAGGAGTGTCTTGCTAATTTGTTCCCAAGACTGTATCTGCTATCTACAGAGAAGATGAAGATGTGCTGTGAAATAGGAAGGAGAACCAACGGGTCATGGGAGTGGAATTTATCATGGAGGAGAAACTTGTTTGATTGGGAGAAGGAAGAGGCAATGGAATTACATAACAAGATCCAAAACGTGCAGATCTCTCAAGGATGCAGGGATATCTGGAAATGGACCCACAGCAAGGATGGCATATACTCAACAAAGTCAGCATACGCATTATTAACAAAAGAGGAGAGGGATGCAACTGAAAGTACTACCTTCACAAGAATT